AGTATGTCAAAGAGGTCTGTCTGCTGTAGAGCTTAAAGGACATAGAGACACTGAATTTCCAGACAACAAAGTATCAGGCTATTGTTGCATTTATCTTGGGGGAGTTCTGATCTTATGATTAGCACTTCTAATATTCATTCTTACAAAATAAATATTCTACATTCTTACTAGTGGAGCCACACAAGGAGAGAATTTATTTCTTCTTTTTTCTTGCTCCTTTTGATGATATCAGGTGAACAGGGATTTTAAAAAAGAGGAATCTCTCAGACATCACACGTGGAGTGGCCAACAGATGCCTTCAGAAGGGGTGCTTCTTGTTCATACACCAAGTAAAAGTCAGACGTGCATAAGAAAGTAATACATAAAAAGTACTCAAAGTCAAAAGAAAGTGGATAAGGTTTGCAGGAGTTCAATGTTAAGATGCTTCTCTCCACTTCCCACTTGGTTATTTGATATGGTATTTCCTCCAAGTTGTGAGGCTACTAATGATGACATCTTCAATATTCAGCCTAATCTTTGGTCTTGAATCAAAACCTTGTAAAAGAAAGTTCTCAGCTAAGGGGATGTCAGAATATTGGTGAAGCCACAGCTCATCCAAATGCTCAAGAGACTTTGAGGAAACTTTAAACTCTAAAAGCTCATGAATTGAAAAGTTCAAAACATTGTATCATGTGCTATCTGACATATATTGAGCTAGCTAAAGTTCACTTAGGACCTGGTGATATTTCCATATCTGTTATTTATCAGTTCATACCTAGAGAAAAGTTAAATTTGTATGAAACTGGTTTATCTCCCAAGCATCCTCTTCAAATGATGACCTAACATAGGTGGGGATCTCGAAACAGTGCCACCACCCTAGGGTTCAGTCAGTACTCTTTCCTGCCACTGAACTTGGGACTTCACACCTATGTCTCTGTGTTACTGTTTTTTGTGTAATTCAGAGCAAGTGACTTTCTGTCTCAGAGTATTGTTTTCTTAATCTGTGCTTAAGCATCTGGAATGTTCTAGGAAATGAGACTATGTCTGTAATTGTTTGTTGTACTGATAGATAGTAGTTCTCCCATGCATCTTGGCTACTTTGAGGATCACATACTTAGCTAGACTTGCAGTACAAATAAATGCTAAATGTAAATTATGAAGGAGCTACATTTTCTCCATCTGGCCCAGGAGAGTGTCAAGGGGCAATTTAACTTTTTCTAAAATATGACAGAAAAATAGAGGTTGAACCTCTTTGTGAATGTGATTCCTATTGATGACATGAGACAGAGCATAGCTTTTGGGGCAGATGATATTAGCAGGTAAGGTAACACATACCATTTCTAGCTCAACTGATATAGTCTTTCAAGTCCTCACTACTGAGCTTATATTGTTTTTAATTTTATTTAAACATAAACAAGTGAGATGTCTATTACATTATGTAGCAATGATGACGATGAAGATGATAATGGAATTATTGGGGCTTTCATACATTGTCCCTTGGTCAGACTCATTTCCAACACTCGTGTAAATTGTGTGCTTGTCTTTGTCTCAGAAAACAATGCTAAAACCACGAGGACTCAAAGGAGATAAGAAATGGAATCTAGACTTCTGATTACACAGGCTTTTAAAACTTCTCAAACACTTCTTTTCTACTTACATTAGAGAAAATATCTCTACCGGCTTCACAGACATGGGCATGACACACAAGAGTGCCCTGTGAACATCTTTAATGACTGAAGTGTGGGGGAAGGTGCCATTAATGCCTAGCTACAAACCAAGGAACACAACTAGGTGCATTTTGAATCTGGAAGAAAACTCTTCATCAGATCTGACTTCCTAGACTTACTACCTACACATTTTATTCCATAAGTTAGATATAACATATCTCTTCTTCACAGAATATTTTATGTTAGAGGTGAAAGTTTAAAACCTCTAAAGGCTTTGTTTTTTATATAAACAGTATATTTAACAGTTGCTTAAAATAATTCAGGTCTTTAATGAATAGTAAGTGTGGTCAGTGAGATAACATATAAAGATAACTAATTGCAAACTATGTTAACTATATAAAGGCATAAGAGAAGCATTTTAGAGAGTTGCCTTTTCGTTGCCAGCAGCTTTGGTTATTCATCACCAGTTGCCTGGGCTCTGCCGCGTTGTAGTCCCCAACTAACACCCAAGACGCTGTATTAATTATGAAGCTGTTGGCCTTGCTTGTTTCTTACTGGCTAGCTCTGACTTAAGTATTTATCCCATAATTGTTAATCTAAGTATTTCTCTTACTGGAGAAGTTTCTGGGCTTCTTATCCCTATGGCAGTTACATCTTGACTCTCTGTGTTTTTCCTACCCAGAGTCCTCCTCGACTCCTAGTCCCACCTATCTTCCTTCCCTATTGGCCAACAGTGCTTATTGACATATACACAGGACTTCCCCAACAAAGCATAACAAAAAATACTTAAAAGTTCAGAGTAGAGAGTCCCATGTTCTGGAGAAAAAATATACCATGGACAGCAGGTCTTCTGAGGGCAATGATTGCTGAAACACATAATTCTTTAGGGCAAGTAATAGGTTACATGTTTGATCCACGAAAAGAGGAAAAGTAGGTGACTCTATTCTGAGGCAGGTCTGGCTTACTAATATAAAAAAGCTTAAAAAATCATAACACATGCATAGTTAGGCTCATGTTAGAAAACAGAATGAATATGTGTATCACTTGAAATCTCAGAAGTGGATGGCAACAGAAGTTGTAACTCAAGACTTCCTACTGCAATCTTGGCTTACTGTTTCACAAAAGTGCAATGTTTCTATATGGGAAAAAGAGTGCCTAGGGAGTTGCTGGTTTTATCTTGATGAAAAACAATGCTTCTGATATTTATATGTAATAAGCAAGACTATGTTGGCTGACAATATTGTTTTCTGAAAATAGTATGAATCTTAATGAAACAGTGATATTGGTAATTTGTTACAATTACATAGGACAGACTACAGCATTTTAGAGCCTCAAATTTCACTGTATTAGAGGCTGGAAAAAATCCATCTCTCCTCTCTCAGGACAGAAATAAAAACCAAAGGAGTGAAAACAATTCTGTGATTTAATGAAACAGAACATAGAATTTACCACATAGAACAAAGTCTTTATGGTTGTCCTAGCAGAAATAAGTCTATTTAATTAGAAATGTGCTAGTGAATGCATGCAAGTAGAGCTAATGAAAGATTCCAACCTGGAAAAACATAGATCTGTGTTCCAATGGTGGATTGCACAATTCAAATTTCCAGTAACTTTCAAAGAATTTCAACCATGTCAGACTGGCTTGATTTCCCATTAATATATTCATGTAAATTATGCTTTAACTTGCACATGCTAGACCTATGACAGGAAACACTGAGTCAAATGAAGCAGCTGTTGCTTCATTAATGTGTGAGAGGGTTGATGGGCCAGGCATGTTATGGAAAGGGTAGATCTAAGAAAGGAGCACCGAGAAACAGCAATTTCAGTTAAAACCCAACTTCTAACACTCACCCTGAGAAGGAAACTGCTACTTCACAAAGTAACTGCTGGAGTGAACCCTTTATTCAAGATTTTTGCTATTGTCATCATTTTAAAACTTCTGTTGGTCACATATATATTTGTCAAGTCCAATCAGCTATTTAGAGAACTGGGTAGTAATTTGTCTTTTTCTTTCTGTCAAAGAAACTTATTTCAAAATCTAACATGAATACATGCTTAGTTATGGATATCTAGTGAATTAGAATACATGTTTAATTTGTGTGTTCTCTGTACTTAGAGCCACCGGATGACTGAGAGTAACTTTTGGGTCTCTGAACATTTTCACACAAGTTGAACACAGGGCACTTACTGGTTCTCCCGTCCTTAGGTTGGTGGAAGGAGATACCATGTAACATGCACAGATCAACACTCACCCACCCACCCAGCACAGCAGCAACTCAGAGTCAGCACCAAAGCAAGCTGACAAAAAAGCAGAAATGATGGCCTTTTATCAGACCATTCCAAAATCTCATATGTCTGTTCTGCAGCAGCTCTCTGAGTGCAGCTGTTTCTATCATTGCGATTAAGGAGCCAGCCTGTGTTAGCTGAAATATTGTACAATTTGAATTCTCACCCCTTTTCCTTCTCAGTTCCACATAACCACTCTCCACCTAAATAAAGACAGAGGAAAGAATGTTTTTGTCCCTCACCACCTTTTCGTCATTACTACCAGCCGTTGATATGTCCTTAAGGTTAGAAGTTGATTGGATAAAAAACAACAACAAAAAAGGCAGAATTAAGATGGTACAATTTAATCCCCCCCCCACCACCACATACAACTAGCTTTAGAGATCATTCAGTTTCTGGCATTGATAGATCTTCCCCAGACAATGAAAAAGGTCAGTCATATTCTGAAAGTAATCACCAAGAGGAGGTCGCCTCCAACATGGTCCTCAGCACTGAACAGCTCAGTGCTCTTAAGCTTTGGATTCCTCTTGTACTTTTACACTAACACATCAGTGAAATAGGGAGTGCGCTCTCAGGAACAATGGTGGGAACAAAAAAAATGATCACATGAAGTGACACTCATGACATTTCTTAAGGGAAAAGTGCTTGGATTCGTTTGCTGTCAGAGTTCCCAGCCATGGGATGGCATTGTTTAAAAAATGAGATCACCAGCTTCTTGGGACTGAAATGTTTTGTATGTGTTGTTGTTTGCAGTGCATGCCAAGACATTCATGAGCACCAGAGCCAAGCTTGCAAGCTAATTAAATATATATATATATATATATATATGTGTGTGTGTGTGTGTGTGTGTGTGTGTGTGTGTGTGTGTGTGTGTGTGTTTAAACAGCCTAATAAGGAGCATTGGAAATCTTCAAGATGAGCGAATATCTTATAACTTCTTCCGCAGGTGCGAGGATAGCTACAAGCCATGGACTTTCTGTCCTGCTTCTTGTTTGTGGCTTTGTGAAGGGTGCTTTGCTTTAATCTAAAGTGCTGACTTTTTTCCAATATCACTTTCTCTTCTTAAAGCAAAGAGCAAATCGCCTGTAAAATCTACGGAGCGGACAGCAAAGTTGACCCTAAACTCCAAGCACCATTCTGCACCCCTGTACTCTAGTTACCTACCCAAGGAGCATCAGCTTCCGGAAGCATAAGTGAAGAGGCTATCACACGCTTTATTGATAGTATTTTCTTTGGGAAGTTGCTGATCTTTTATTTGAAGAGATGTGAAGCGATAGGACATTTTCTAATAACAAGATATTTTTTTCTTTTCTTTCAACAAATAAAATCTGCATTTCACTGACTGCTCAGGAATTGACCTGAAAGTCATCAGTGTAATAAATATTTCCATGGATTCCACTAATTTCCTATCAAGGGATACCTAATCTGAAAGAAGCAGACAAAGATGGAAAACTTAAGAAATACAAACTATCTTCAAACATCACCCCAGCCCAAGCTGGGAAACAAAAAACATAAAACAAAATGCTGGACACTGCAAATCAACAACAGGAAACTTTATTTTACATAAGGAAGAATAAAGAATCATTTTAACTTCTTTCCCCTGACCCTCCCATGGAATTTTTCTTGGAGTTTCCCTTCTTTTCCTTGATTGCCGTTCTTGTTCTGGGGTAGCAAGTGCCAATTATGGCCAATCCTAGTCAATCCTGGGAGATTTATATTCATACATATTGAGTGTGCTATATTTCAATGTATTTTAATTCATTTTGCAATTTCTGTATATGCAAATCTGGCAAATTCTGTAAATTGCTTACAGTATGTGTGATATGACTTCAAGGTAGATAGATATGACACTCATGCAAGCTGACTTTCTTCATTATATATACAAATATATACATGAGCAAATACTAGGCCACCTACTTCTTTTCCTAAAGCACTATTTTCCACTTGAATCTCATGTATTATGTGAAGCTTGTAGTGTGTTTCTTTGTTCAACTGGTTTGACAGCTACAGTTTGTCTCTATTGTTCTCTGCTTTCTCCTGGAACAAGCATATTTAAATTGTATATGTCTCTGATAAATGAATTAATTTTGCTATGTGTATTCCATGTGGGAGTTTGCTGTGTTCTTTTATATGTGTGTTTATTGAGGTTTGGGAATTTCAAGTCTGAAGAATGCACATCCTGGTTTTGACAGATCTCCTCATGTTACCAATATTCTATCTCAGAAAAAGAGGGAAAACTGAAGAAGACATTTTGACTTCTCAGGTTCCTGGAAGAGCATGTCACACTCAAACTAAATAACACTGCTTCCTTTGTTCTTCAAGAATTTTTGTAGCTTTGCCATTCTGTTATTTGCTGCTAATTATATTTTAAAGTCTACTAATTAAAATTTAAAATGTGATTCTTGGCTGAATACAATATGCAAGTGATTGCAAAGCCCATACTGAAAAAGACACGTGTTCAGTCTTCAGTCATTAATTATAATTTTAAATATTCCATTGTTATTTTTGACCTTATGGTATTTTGCTTAGACGTGTTCTAAATAAGTGTCTCCAGCAAAGAAAGATAAAACAATTAATACATTCCCTCTTACAAAATAAATAGTTATGATTTGAGAAAGACGACATCCAGTTAGTCTTCCAGAGAGATTATTTTATTTACTTCCATTATAAATTCAGAACACCATCTATTTAGGAATAATCCGTTCCCAGCTGAAGGTCCTAAATTGAAGGTTGAAGACCATAAATACCTTTGATTTTTAAGGTAAAGGGCTGGACATTGCCATTCACTTATAAGCAATGCGTAAATTTTCATAACATTCTTAACATTCTCTTTTAAGAAATATTGCTTCATGCTAAATTTCTCCTTGCTATTTTTCCTGTTTCATTTGATTATTTCATTCTAATGAGAAAAATAAAGGTTTAATTGTGATAATTTATTAACATACAAATGTATTTTCTTTCAAAGTTAAATATGTTGTATAAAATGATGATAGGTAAATATTGCCTGTTAAGTTTGTGTTAAGGCATATATTAATATATCGATTTAAAAAGTCAACAGAGATGGGAAAAATCATCATGCATTATATTTCTACTCAATGTCCAGTTAACGATATCAACCAATTCTACAGTAGGCCAAACTTGTACCCATATCAGTAATGTTCATCATGCTTGTAATAAAAGAGCACATGCTAGTTTGGGAAGAATGCTCACTAGATTCATTGTATCAGTGTCCAAAGTAATAAAGACCTACTTATCACTGTGTGACCAAAGTTCAGCCCACTTTGAAAATGGAATATGCCATACTACTGTTCGTTCCAAACTCACAAAGAGGATGGAACTTTAAACATTAAACATTAGAGCAGAAAATAAAGATATCAAAGAGACCTTCCAAACACTTGCTCACTATATTGTATTCTATTGGAATTACAAGTTTTTTATGTAGCCATGGCTATGGAGGTGAATACAAATGCAAAAGTAAAGTATCTGGCTTTCCCAATCTTGTTTCCAAGGATATATAGTATTTTTATAAGATAGAGCTATAAAAAGCTGAAATTACTTACCCGAGTTTAAGTCAAATACTTTATTTCTTAAAGACTTAAAGACAGTTAACAAAGCAAAGGAAGCAAATGAAAATGCTCCTGAACAAAATAAGATAACTGAATTCTCTAAAACAGAAACTGTAATCTGAGTTAGTAAGTAAGATTCATGGAGTCTAAGAACCAGCCCCGTTTACAGTCAGCCCTCCATGTCCTTAAGCAGTGCATTGTAGCAACTATCTGCATGGTGTTTGTGCTGTATGAGACATAACAATTAGAGATGATTTAACATGCAGGAGGCTATGTGTATCATGTTCAGATACCATGTCATTTTATCCAAGAGACCTGAGTACTCACATGTTATGATAGCCAATGACTTCCTTGTACAGCCATCTATCTGCAGATGCTAGGGAGAGAGTTGTACATGTATGATTCTGTTGATATGCATTTTATGGAGATAGTCCTTAGCATGCATTACTTCTGAAAAGTAACTTAATTGTGGTTTCCTCTGAGAAAGAAATATATAAATGATTTTGAGAATCTAAGAAGTCCTCATTACCATGTGTTTGACGTGGTTTACCTAAAGTTCTTAGAAACAAAAATGCATTCATATAAATATATTAGTATACACATATACAAACATATTTGGCAAATAAAACATATATTTTTAAGTCTAGAAAATTTTTAAAATTTATTATGCATGGGATGGAATAATAGATACAGAGTAATATTTGTTGACTTTTTACAACAGATGTTATTAATAATAATAATAATAATAAAAATGAAAGGAATGGTGGCACTTTGCTGTAACTACAGGACTCAGGAGATTGGAATAGGATAATCATGAGTTCGAATTCAACCTGTCTGCATAGTGAAACCTTGAATCATTAAAAAAATAAAACATGCTAGCTTAATTTTGCAAAAAAAAACCCACAGAGATATTATTCCTATTTTAATCCTACATAGGAAATAAAATATTAACAGTAGTGTTAATTTGTATAAAAATAATCACAAAAGATAAAAAGCAATCTATCTTGAGATAATACATACACTGTTTATGTGTCTTAGAATTAAGACTGTGAAGCTAAAAGCCATGAGTGCTCTAAGATTCAAGTATTTATACCAAGCAATTTTATTTTTAGAATTGCTCATTAGTAAAGAGAGCTCTCTGTCATTCAGGAAATGTCAGCCATAAAGTAGATAAGGTCTTTCACTCTATGTAGTGAGAGACAAGAGAAAAGCATTCAGAAGCAATAAAATATGTGAGCTGCCAATAAATTCCATGAAGACCCAATAGGAGGAGATAAAGGAGAATGACTGAGAAGTCACGGGAGGTTGCTCTGGGGGTGGGGTCATACAATTTAAATGAAAAAAAGGAATTTGTGAGATGTGTCCTCAGTGAGAGGGAACAGCCCATGACAATCTCAGAGCAAACCTCAGGTAGAGCTGTTCAAGGGCTAGTCAGTGAGCATGGGCACACAGAGAAGGAGAGGCAGGGGAGGGACCTGAGAGAGAGACTGAAGCAGGATTACACAAGGATCTTCAGAACGTACTGAGCCCAGGGAACAGAGAAGAGCTAGAGCTTGCAAAGATCCCACTTATCTGCTCTCAGAAGACAGGGTTTTTCTGCCATCCTGAAGCTTATTCACAGTTTATTGCATTAGCAATACTCTTTGGGACAACACTACAGTTTCCAAATTGTTTGTATTTGTGTGGGTGTTTGGTTGTGTTCAAGTATCCATGTTGAGGACAGAGGTGAATGCTGGTGTCATGGTCTCTCACAGTCTTCCTCAGTCCCTTGAGACAGGGTTTCTCACTGAACCTGGAACATGAAAGGAAGACAGAAGGTCCCAGGAATCCTCCCATCTCCTTTGTTTACAGGCATTCTTAGACACACCCACCACTGTGCAGCACATGATTTTACCCACTGAATCATCTCTCCAGTCCCAAACTGGTTACACTTTTATACTGATATTGTGAGAATTCAGGAGCTGTGAGATATTAACATGTTTTGATGCTAATATATAATTGATACTTTGCAGGGACAAGACAGGAGATTGAAAAAATAATTGGAACTGTTTGGAATGTAGTAATGAAGTAGTTACTGTAACTGCATTCATGATTTAAAATAAAAGCATGGGTACATTTGTCTCTCTCTAGCTTAAATTACCTGTTATCAACCATACTTTGAAAATAGTACATGGAACACTCCCAAACAATTGATGAGTTTTGAAGTGTATATTATTCTGAGTAGTATAATAAACTATCCATCACTCTCTGAATCAATCTTTTATTCAAGAACTACATACTATATACCCATTAGGTACTAAGTAGCCATCCTATTTAGCAGATGCATTGTGGTGGCAATATTCTGGCACTTATGTTCAACTAACTACTGTCACAAGTGAAGTGATGATAGCTATTCAGTTATGAAAAAGAGAAGCTGTGAAATGCTTGCTTTAAGTAAAAAGATGAAAGGTCTCAACTGCATCAAAGATAAGTACAAGTAGGAAAAAGAAGTAGATAGAATATTCTGTGCTAACTGTGGTATCAGGGTTTTAGAATATATCTCCCTCTGCAACAAATAAGAGGGGAGGGAATACCTTAGTCTCTAATGGAATGGGCAGACAGATTGGAAAAACAAACACTCATAGACATTTATTGGAAAGACTGTTTCTTAAAAGGTAGAAAGAAGAAAATTTATTATACCCCATGTCCATGCATACATATGCCCACAAGTTTTTTTTTAAATATCAGAAATTAAGATCTAAGAGTTCTCCACAATAAAAATCACAGAAGACAACAGACTAAATGGCAAGGAGTTTTGAGCGCTAACAAGGTATGCATGCCTAGAAGCTGAGGAAAGAAGATCACAAGTTCATGGCATGCTGAAACTTGAAAATGAAAACCTTGTCCAAACAAACAAAAATGATTACAGTGTTTTCAAGAGGAATTTTGTCTGGAAACCATCTTACACTGTATTATATTTTCACTGTCAAAACAATAAAATCATTCTGAGGTATACAAGGTTCTTTGGAAAATAAGATGTTTAAACTCTTTTAAGATTTATTTTTCATTTTAATTCTGTGTGTGTGTGTGTGTGTGTGTGTGTGTGTACATATAAGTGACGATGCCCGGGAAAGGCAGATGAGGTCTTTGGACCTTCTGGAGCTTGAGTTACAGGTGGTTATCAGCTGCCCAACATGGGTACTGAGATCCAAACCTAGGTCTTCTGTATTATCACTACACACCCTGAACTCTTGAGTCACGATGCCAGCCTCAGATGGGTGGACACTTACAAGCAATGCTTCCCTTTGAGCCACAACTGCAGTAACAATGAAACATGAAGTTATAAGTCAATAATATAAACTGTATGCCATAGGAAATTTGAATTTGTGTTGAATATAAAGAATAATAAGGTATTTTATTATATTTCAGTATATATGAATGGATTTACAAAATAATACTACTTCTTTGTTCATGCATTTTAGTATATTCAGTTTTCTTCTGTTTTATTCGTGTCAACTACTACACATTAATTTGACTTTACAGAATATACTTTACAAAACAATCACAGGTATATTTCAACCCAAAGAACAATTAAATCCCAAGTATAATCTAAAGTCACATTATGTTATATAAAAAAAATTGGACAGTCAAGATGAACCACAGACAAGAAAATGCTCTCTGTCCTCTGCTGATGATTGTAACCACAGTCAGCTTTTTTTCATGCCTACAGTCTTTGTGTTTATTCTGGGTTCTGTTCCCAGCTACTAAGTTAATATAGTTGGCAGCAGACTTTTCCTCTAAGATTTAAGGAGCACTTGAGTGAGCAGTACCACAGCACTGAATCCGGCTTCCATCCTGCATCTGTTGCCCAAAGGAATAGATAGAGGATTGCTTGTGGAAGCCTGAATGAACCATAAGGATACCTTTCTTGAATCCTCACCTGATTTCCATGACAGAAAAAAATCTCCATTCCTTGAAAGTAGATGTCTAAACACTATAATAAAGTCATAGTCCACCACCAAAGTCATCATAAAGTCATAGCCCTTCTCAATTCCACCACCAAAATCATCCTAAAGTAATAACCTCACCCAAGTCCATCACCAAAATCATTTCATGGGCCTAGAAAATCATATGGAACAAAGTACTAATCCTAAAGATATTTTATGACCCTCCTAACATGAATATTTTGGTTAGCCTTACTTCAAATTCAAGTTTTTGTTTTTTGTTCATTTGCTTCTTTTTTGCTTTTTTGTTTGTTTTTTTAAGAAAAATGCCATAAAAAAGGGAAATGCCTGTATCTTACTGGGTTCTCAGACTAAGGCTCAGAGCTACTATTACATTCTATGGACTCTGGGGCCCTCTATTTAGCAACTTGGGAGATATGTAAGAGTTGTTACAGGACTGATAAGGCCACTGTGTCTACAATCATTACCCCACCTTGTAACACACAATTGAAATGTGTAGCTTTAGAAATGGAAAAATGCCCTTCCCTGACAATGAGTTTGATGACCACCTTATAAGCCATCCTAGAGCCTTCATCCAGTTATGCTGGAAGGAGACTTCCTGTTCTCTATCTGCCCTTATCTGGAGAATGTCCCTAGTCCCTGCACCTTATCTGAAAGCTTTCTCTAAGCCTGGATTCCTGGTTTATCTTTAGCATGACACTTGGCACAGTTCCCTGCTAGAAGCATCCCTAACTATACACATGATAACTAAGATTTATACTAGAAGCTTTGCTATAGGATCCTACTGCCACATAGAAGCCCTATGATATGAGCATGTCACAATGCAAATTAGGTGATGCCCCAGATACTGCCCTAAGCTTTTATATCCATTCCCCTTTGTTTCAGGAATAAAGTAGAGTTGTAACACTTAAATCCCCTGAGAGCTGTCTCTGACTAACAAACCACCCTGCCCTGCTCACTCAATTCGGGCCCCTCCCCATTCAATAACAGTAGCTGGCAATCCTGAGGAAGAAGCAGAGCCACAGGTTCATTTGTGAGACTAATGTTACTTAGGTAGAAAATTTGACAATGACAGTGTGAAAGAAATGGGAATCAACAATCCACTATAGCTCATGACTACAGGTGCTAAATCCCATAGAAAAGTAACAAAAATCAGCAAAATATAATACATCATATGAAGTAAACATGGTGCACACTAGAAGAGTAAATTGGAAAAGTCACCATGTCACTCTCAGTAGTCTTAGAGAATATTGCCCCAGAGTAGACATAAGAGGACTTGTTTCTGATGAATTTACTTAGCAAGTTCAGGAACATGTATAGAAGAAGAAGAAGAAGAAGAAGAAGAAGAAGAAGAAGAAGAAGAAGAAGAAGAAGAAGAAGAAGAAGAAGAAGAAGAAAAAGAAGGTATTTTACCCCATGGTAAACATCAGATAGTGTAAGTTCCATCGACCTTGTACAGAGTATGGCAAGCCCTGTGCAGTTTCCTAGACTACATTCAGCAAAAGAATTGCAGACTTGGACAGCTGCAGAGTTTGCACACAATGAACTGCTAAGGTAGATATGGGACATGAAAGTTCCTACTACAACAATCATTCCCACAACCAAAGAGATAAACAGACATATATTGCAGGGAATGAAAACACACATTAGATGAAATTAGGTATTTGTTCTTGATTAGACACTTGTCCTTTACAAACAAAAAAATGAAGAACATGACAATGATGTTCAGTTCCCATATCTATGGTAAGCAATTATTTAATGAATGTGGGAACAACAGACCTTGGCCAGAGGCCCACTTATCAGCCTGGGAACAGGCAGCTAAAAGACAATGTTTACTAAAACAAGTTTACTAGCAACAATACAGTGCCCAAGGCAATAAATTCCTGATAAGGGCTGGCCCACAGAAACACCCTAGTCTTTACCTTTTCCAAAGACTAACTGCCTCTTTCTGACCCACCCACCACTGTCTCTGGTGTCAGGGTATATAATAATCAGCCAGGGTAGGAATAAAGGAGAGCCTTCTTGAGGAGCATTCTGGAAGCCACTGACAGATCTCTGGGTCATCAATACCAACACTTGCCACATTCTCGGATACAGGCTGTGCAGGAGACGCAGCAAATGAACTGCAGTCAAAATAAACACAGAGGACCAATATAGGAGAGCATGCAAACAATAAGTTTGTTTACCAAAGAGAAACTGGAAAGCAAAAATAAATAGACAGACAGATAGATAACAAGGGTTACGTACAACATAAATTATGGATGAATCTTAATGACATCTTGACTGTTTAAAACAATAAAGAAATATACAGCCGAAGGGTCCAGGAACCAGAAGAGCCAGGGAGACCAGGGGAGCAGGTGTTCTGGTGGCATCAGGTACAACAGCCCCTGCTTCTGGGCCTGTGTTCCAGTGCCTGGGGATCGCCTGGGAACTGCATAGAGCTTCCAATCCCGGTGGGAGGCAGACACCCCAGACTCCAGGACTTCTCTCCCACCAACAAGACCAGGAAACCAGAGGAGCCAGGGAGACCAGGGGAGAAGCTGTTCCAGTGGCTGGATCAGGTACAATAGGATCCAGCAAAGGGTCCAGGGGACCAGGTGGGAGGCTAAGCGCCCCAGATTCATGTTCTTCTTCTCCACCCATGGGACCAGAATGAGGACAAGGAATAGAAGAACTACCAAATTATTGGACTTGCTAGCATCAAAAGGGAACTCTGGTCCCCTAACCACCAGACCAGTAAGGGGCTCTATCTGCAACCAATAGAAGAAGAGATGGGAAAGAGAAAATACAAAAACACACTCAGCAACAGAAAAACAATATGATACCAACAGATTCTAGAGACTCCACACCAGCAAGACTCCAACATTCCAATGCAAATGAAGCAGAAGAGAATGACCTTAAAACCACTTTCATGAAAATGATAGAGGCCCTAAAAGAGGATATAGGAAAATCTCTCAAAGAAATTGAAGAAAAAACAATCCAAAAAATGCAAGAAATGGAATAAAAAACTAACCAAAAAAATGCAAGAAATGGAAGAAAAATAAACCAAAAAAGGCAGGAAATGTAAGAAGAAACATACCAAAAAAAGGCAGGAAATGGAAGAAGAAACAAAGCAAAAAATGCAAGAAATGGAAGAAAAAGCAAACCAAAAAAAATGCAAGAAATGGAAGAAAGAACAAAACAGAAAATTCATAAAAGGGAACAAATGGACAAAAAGATAAACCAAAAATTGCAAGAAACAATGCAAGAGTTGAAAACTGAAATGGAGACAATGAAAAACAACACAATCTGAAGAAAGGCAGGAAATAGAAAAGCTGGGCAAATGGTCAGGTACTACCAATACAAGCATTACCAACAGAATAGAAGAGATGGAAGAGAGAATCTCAACTGTTGAAGATACACTAGGAGAAATAGATTCATCAACAAAAGAAAACCATAAGTCCAATAAATCCTTAACACAAAACATCCAGGAAATATGGGATACCATGAAAAGACCAAACCTAAGAATAATAGGTATAGAAGAAGAAGAAAACCAACTCAAAGGGGCAGAAAACATATTCAACAAAATGATAGAAGAAAACTTTCCCAACCTTAAGAAAGACATACCAATGAAGGTACAAGAAGCTTACAGAACACCAAATAGAGTGGACCACAAAAAAAGTCCCCTCGCCACATAATAATCAAGACCCAAAATATACAGAATAAAGAAATAATATTAAGAGCAGCTAAGGAAAAAGGCCAAGTAACATATAAAGGTAGACCAGTCAGAATTACAACTGACTTCTCCATGGAAACCCTGAAAGCCAGAAGGTCCTGGATAGATATTCTACCAACACTAAGAAACCATGGATGCCAGCCCAGACTACTATACCCAGCAAAGCTCTCAATCACTATAAATGGAGAAAACAAGATATTCCATGACAAAACTAGATTCAAGCAATATGTATAAACTAACCCAGCCCTACAGAAAGTTTTGGAAGGAAAAATCCAACCCAAGGAAGTTACCTACAACCAGAAAAAGATAGGCATTAGAGAATCTCCCTCTACC